GGAGCCGTCGGCGGGCAAGACCCGCCTGCGCTTCCAGGTGAGGGGTGGCCGGGGGGGAGTGGAGCGGGGCCGGGCTGGCCCGGGAGGTGCCCGCCCCGTCGAGTAACTGTTGTCCCCGGCAGTTTCTGGAGCAGAAGTACGGGTACTACCACTGCAAGGCCTGCAACATCCGCTGGGAGAGCGCCTACGTCTGGTGCGTCCAGGGCACCAACAAGGTAGGGCTCGGATCGTCCCCGCGCGGCCCCCTCGCCGCCGCCCCCCTGCTGACTCCGGCCTCCCCCCAGGTCTATTTTCGGCAGTTCTGCCGGACCTGCCAGAAGTCCTACAATCCGTACCGTGTGGAGGATATCACCTGCCAGGTAAGGGACGCCCTCCCTGCCGCGGGCCGGGCGGCCCCTGGGTCTGGCCACCCTCCCCGACCGCCGCCTTCTCCCTCAGAGCTGCAAGCAGACGCGGTGCACCTGCCCCGTGAAGATGCGCCACGTGGATCCCAAGAGGCCCCACCGCCAGGACCTCTGTGGCAGATGCAAAGGGAAACGCCTCTCCTGTGATAGCACATTCAGTTTCAAATACATCATCTGAGTGGGATAGGGTTTTTTTTTGGTTTTGTTTAGGGCTCTTCTAGAAGACTGCAAGTAGAGCAGATTTTTTTTGTTGTTGGTATTGTTGAAGATACTTAGTGAGGTGTAGCTAGGAAAGCATGAAAATAAAAGTACTGCAAAGCATACTCAGATGATCAGGTGGGTTTGTGCTCAGCAGAGGGTGCATATTGCAAATTCTGTAACTTGCACAGGGGAAGAGCCCACAAGTGTTTTGTAAATCGGTGATGGTTTTGGAAGTACCTGGCTCAGGACCTTGTAGCATTTCAGGCGGATACAGTTTCTGTTACTGCTCCTACTCTTGAACTAGTCAAACACTTGAAGTTAACATCAAATCAACATCTACAGTAGTTAGTAGACCATCATTCATGAACTAAACACATAATAGTATTCACTTACTGTACCCACCTCTAGTCCATGTAGAAAGTATTCTGCACCTGTTTTTCATCACTAGAAAATGATTGAGAAAAGCTGTGTAAGAACTAGGTCACTCTTACTGGTACAGCTGGTCTGCATTTAGCTAAGCTGGTATTCTTGTCTGTAGACTAAAACCAAAGAAAGCTTTTCAGGGATAGTTTTCACAAAATGCTGAGGAACAGAGTCACTGATATTATAGTCTCATAGTAAATGTGTTGCTCATCTTTCTTGTGCAAGCTAATCAAGAGAAGTGACACTTCTGCCTGGCTTCTTCTTCAACTTGTAGATAAAGCACTAGAGCTGTGCACTTACTGGATTACACTTGAGGAGTTTGATCTAGTTATGGTTTAGATGCCTGCCACTAGGGAAGGATCAAACTCCCACACCCTTCTGGGGTTGGGTTTGCAACTAGGAATTGTATTCTTGGTGTTTGGTAGTAATGACAGAACCAGCACTGTTTACTCCCAGATAATGCTCTCTGTGGGCCGTTGGTGTTTTCAGTGGTGATGCCCTCTGTAGGGCCGTCATACTTCAGCAGTGTTACAAACTGACTGGGACTAACTACAGCATCACTATCTGAGCAGATTCAAAAGCTACTACAACCTACACTGCCACCCCCAGTCTACCCTTCAGCTAAGGAGTTGGGTAAACTTAGAGGAAAACATACTTTTCTGAGAATGCTACTGAACACTAATTTTGAAATAAAACACCATAATGCACAAAGCCTTTTGCAGGACTCTAGATGTAGCTTCTCTTTGAAAAGAGTGATTTATCTTGGTTATCACAAATTTGTCTACATCTGTACCTAGCTTACTTGAGACCACTGTTTTAAAGACTAAAGGGAGAACTATTCTGAGCCCATGCTGTACAGCAGCTTCAGGGCCAGGTGGTTTTGCATCTCCAAGTGGAAGCTAGTATATGGCTGGATAGGCAAACAGTATCCCTTGTACAAACATGTCTGTTTTGAGGGGCAGTGTTAATCCTATAGGCTTAACTCGTCTTGCTGTAAATTCCTGCTTTATTTCAATATACCCCTTGAACCTGCTGCAGTGACTAAGGCTTAATGCTTCAGTGACAATTTATTGCCAAGTAATTTTATTTATTCTTGCTGCGTTCATTATTATAGCAGCATGAGGCATTCTGGGAACAAGTAGACCTATCCGCTGCAGAGCAGAATACTGTTTTATTTCATACTTCTACCTGAAGTGTTTTTCCCTGTATGACAGTGAAAGTAAATATCCCTTGCTTTACCAGCTCACTCAGGCTTTCACAGCAAGTTTCATCCTTGCTCTGATCAACTTGAAAAGTACACCTGCCGCTGGGCAGTTTCCTGTAGGTGTGTGTGCCTTGTACTCACCTGTAGGTACTGTAATGAGCAGTGGCAAGTCTCCAGCTTGAGGAGGAATCAGTTGGGGCCCTCTCTGCAAGCCATCCAGCCACACTGCCTTAGCTTGCAGTTGCAGCTATGATCTAGGATGTCTTCTAACTTCTGAGCATATTCCCCTCTAAGGGTGTTCTTCAATACATTTTCCTATTTGCCTTCCCCATTCTAATGGTCTGTTCCTGATGGATGCAGTGAGAGCCTGATGGTGATGAATTTGTGCACATTGATAATGAGCCTGAGAACTGAAGCTCTGTGCCATGTCAGTATCAAATCATATGGCAATTAATGGCAATATGAGCAGTCAAGTGCTTCCTACTTTTACATGTATTCTCACAAGTGTTGCTTTGAGGTTTACTTGCTGTGAAAATGGTGACTCTTACGTGATTATTATCAGTAATAGCCCAAAGTGAAATTTAGTACAACTTCAGGGTTGTCATCCCCACTAAGCACAGCACTAAGCAGAGCAGCAGTTGGTTCTGCTTGATAAGATGTAAAACAGGCTGATGTGAACTTGGTGCTTCAGCAGCAACTTGTCCAAGCAAGCAGTTGATGAAGGCTCCCAGGGCAGGTAGCAGCAAAGAGCCACCCCTGCTTTCATTAGCTATTGCCAAGTTTTGTGACTTGGAGGAGTAGAGGGCAGTGGGCAGCCATATTAAACAAGTTTTCCTTTATCCTGTAGCATTCCTCAGTTCCATAGTAGCTCTACATGTCATCCCTCTTACAGAAATATATTCAATGCTTTTACTGCTAGATGCTAAAGTACAGTTCTGTATTTCTCTAGTTCCTTTTCAGTTTTACTGCCCTGTCATGTCCTTGACAGCACACACTGTGTGTCATGGGCACTGGTTCCCAGACTCAGCAAGAAAAAGGAAAGCAACTCCTGACCTATGTGATTATGCAAAGTGGAAAGAAACAGCCTTTGTGTTGCCAGTTCTTCAAAGATATCTTGAACTTGCCCTGTACGGCTTTTTCATGACGGGATTCTTTTGCACATGTTAGCTCAGTCAGTGCTATATTTGCTGCATCTTATTGGAGCTGTCTGATGTTTTGGTTTTTTTCTAGACAGCTTTACCATAGCTTCAATTTGGAACAGACCTGGCATCAGGTAATGCAGGGTGGCAGTTTATGCAGTAGTTGAGGAGTAATTTTTGAAAAGCTTCACAAAGTTAAAGCAATATCACACAGTCAGCTGGTGTTCTTCTGCTCCATTGGGCAGGTTCCACTAGCCATTATAAATGGAGAAAGATGTAAAGCATAAGGAATGACACATATGAATTCAGGTTTGAGTTTCATGAGAAATCCATTAACAGTTTCAGAAGATGCCTAGGAAAATGCTGCTGCAATGACAGGACATAAAAGGAAAAAACCATGACTTCAGGGCACCCAGGTTTCTGTTGTCAGTGTTTGGTCTGCTTGGCTAAAGTATTTAAACTCTAGCTTGTAAAAATACACAAAATGACAGATACAATGTCTTTTATTTTTACAAAAAAAGCTGGTAAAAGATGATGTAAATAAAAGTGTAATGTGCCCCTAAATAAAACTACTTATCCCTGGTAAATACTAATTAAATAATTAAGAACACCATCTACAGTACCACAAAACCATCAAAATAATTCAATTTTATCAGGGACAGGGAAAAAAAATACAGTGAATATGGATGTGCCTTGACCAGTTACAGAACTTGTTAGGATAACATAACTACTGTCAGCAGTCCAACAGTGTGCACAGTGCCTTCAATTAATGCATTTCAGCATAATTACATTTCTAGTGGGGTCTAATTCCCTCAAAAAGGCAGAGCTAAGAATTTCAATTCTACATTCTAAACTCTGGAATTAGAGCCCATTAAAAAAAAATCACAGTGGGTAAGAGATGTATATAAAAATACTGGGTGTTCCTTTCAAATCACAGGAATAGTGGGACTACATTCTTTTTTTCTGGTTTTTTTTTTTTTGTTTTTTTTTTTCTACAAAATGCTATTGGTTTCAACAGAATCCAGTTTGTTTTATGCTACAGACTTTGACACTGAACTATGAATATATTGCCTGTTTGCATGTTTTGGTAGTCAGTAATTTATTTTTTTTCTATATAGTCCCAATTCCTTAGGCTGCAGTTGAGTCATGAAGACGCATATACGTGCATTCAAACTCTTCAAACCCTGCAGACTACTCAGACTGCAAGTACTGGATGTGACTACCACGAGGGAACCCCCCTTCCCCTCATAGCTTTATACACCTACTGTTTTAACAGTGCATTGCACAAATTTACAAGAAAAATACTGGTTTTGCACTATACAGTTTCTAGAATATATACAGAATAAAATAAGTTAACTTCTAATGAGAATTGCTGATGGGCAGCATATATCTTTAATATACATTTTAAAGTCTCTGCAGGCAGCTACTTTTTGGTTAGTTGTTATCAATATTTGTAACATAAGCACTGGTCAGAGAACTGAGCAGCATTCCAATAAAGTTAACAGATATATTATTTCTTTTAGAAACACTGGGAAATCCCAGTTGAAAATATTATTAAATGTCCTAACATTTACACACTATGAGGATTAGATCTAATAAAATAAAATTTCTTCAAAAATAATCTTGCAGCTCTTTTAAGCATGCTCTGAGACCTTATTTAACAATCATCCATACCTTCAAAAAACAAACTGTCACATAGCCATACATTCTAACTCACACACATAATTTCCTTATTACAGACAACAAAAGCAAATAAAACACTGAGAAGTCAATGGTTTTTGCAGTCGTAAGTCATTCTACTCATGTTGGACTGCACATTCTTCATGACATTGCAAAGTGTCTCGTTAGGTATTAGTTGATGATTATATCTACTACTGCTGGAAAAGCCAGGAAGCCTTGCAGGTCTTCAGCCAAAATAAACCAGCCTTGATTTTAGCATCATCCCACCTGCGATACTGATTCAACCCGTAGAGGCTGTTACTGCAAATATCATTTAGAGTTCTGTTACAACAGAAAATAATGCATATGTATGCATTACATTTAAGCCCTTTTCCTTTCATGTAGTTTTTATAGATAAATTTAATAAAAAAATACTACTGCCACACAGGCTGCTGTGTAGAAAGAGCAGTCAAGTAGGATGTTCACTTCAATTTTCAGATTTTTACTTCTGATGAAACAGTTTCTTGCTGTGATAAAATTGTGTTGGTTGTC